CCCAGAGTCACACAACTAGTAAGTGCTGTGTGTCTGAGGCCAGATTTAAACTCAGGTCCTCCTGATTTCAGGGCCAGTGCTCTATCCACTGCACCACCTAGCTGCCCTGGAGAAGGAAAGTATTATAAAAATGACATATTATAGTCAGTTAACCTTGTTAGCCTCAGTTTCCTCATCTGTAAAATGAGCTGGAGAAGGAAATGGCAAACCACTCCAGGGTCTCTGCCAAGAAAACTCCAAATGGGGTCATAAAGAGTTGGATATGACTAGAAATGACAAAACAATATCAATATGTAAATTACATATATATGCATATATACACATACATAATTTTTTTTGTTTTTGTGTGTATATGTATGTGTATATATGTATGTGTGTATATATGTACACACACATATATATGTGTATATATATATATATATATATATATATATATATATATATATATATGAAATGTATATACAAACACTATACACACACACAAATCTATTATACACACACATATTGCCACTTGGACCTGGACAATATTATTGATTTATTATTCAAGGGAGAGTTCTGAGAGAAGGGGTTGGGGGAAAAGGAAAGTCACTGAAAAATGACTACGATATAAAATTAAAAGGGTGTCAAACCATTTATGACTACATGACGAAAAAGAAAGTGAGTGAGGCAGAAGGACCAGTTATTTTCCAAAGCCATCTGGACTGCTTGTCCAGGCTTCAATCTTCTTCCATTTATTCCATCTCTGTGGAACAACTGCCCAGTAATGTTGCCTTAGTTAACAGAATGACCAATAACCATTCAGCAGTGCCAGCTCCGAACACAAAGACATGTTCTACCAAGAACACAAGAGAAAAACAAATTTTCATGAGTCAGCTTTTTCTGTTCCAAAATTACTCTCCCAGACTTTTAGGGACTTTGCATCTGGAAGAATCTTGACCATAGCCAGGGGGACCAAGAGCAATTTACTTGCTAGTTAAAGATAAAGACATTGGAAAAATCCAGGAATCTCATCAATATGGGGGTTTTTTATGCGAATGATGGGTAATTGTTCAGAAAATAATCTGTCTTAAAATCATGTACTAGAACATTAAGGATGCACCTGACCTTTCTAGTAAACTTGGAGTTGACTGCTGAGGGGGGAAATGTGACAACCTTAAAAATCTACAATTTCTACTGCATGTAACCGAAAATGATATGATAACTGCCCATTAAACTCCTTGCTGAGTAATATTAACATTAGCATTAATATTAACCTGACCTTGCTGCAATATATCCTTGCCACATAGAAATTTGATGTCTGGGGAACATTTAAATACAATAATTGGGTTACCCAATACTAAATAGAGACCCAAACTCATTTGGAAATGTTTGCCTTTATTTAAAAACAGAATTCTCAAGTGTCTCTGTGCTTTCTGATTTTATCCAGGATAAGAAAGGAAAATACTCAGATGTGGCAAGATTTCTAATACAACCAAAGCCAAGAAACACTGGAAAATGCAGTCCTGAGATTTCTGGTTTAATTTCCAGAACAAAGAAATCTATTGTCAGTTTATATCAGCTCTAATATTTAGATGCCTTGATAAACTAAACTTGTCAAGTCCTGGAGGTTCACTCGTCCCCACATGTAACACTCCAACTTTGGACTACTCTTTATAGTACAGCTTTTCTCCTCTCCTCCCCTCCCTTCCCTGCCCCTCCTTTCTTTTCCTCCCTCCTCTCTTCTCTCTCTCTCTCTCTCTCTCTCTCTCTCTCTCTCTCTCTCTCTCTCTCTCCCCTCTCTCTCTCTCTCTTTTTCTTTCCGAGTCTCCAAATCATTCCCAAAGGAAGAATTTGCAAATATTTGGACTTTCCTTCCATAATTTCACATCATTTTGTTCTCAGAGTGCTTATTTATATTTGTTTTTGAGTCACTCTGGGTGGAAGGAAACATAGAAGAGACATTCAGCTATTTTTTCCCCCCTCAATGAGCTAAGCCATATTTTCTTTATGACTGTGGCTTTTTTTTAAGGATACATGACTTTTGTAAGATTGTCATAAAAACCTTATGTATGATTTTAAATGCCCAGCCCCCCAATATATATATATACATATTCCACATTTTTGCATGTGTATGTATGCCATTGTGCACATGTATGTATGTATTGAATTGTGTAGGGGGGTACAACTTGCAAAGATTATCAACCTTTCTGTGCTGGCATTGAATTTGTTGTCTAACTTTTGGCATAAATACTCTCAAAAGAACATGTCCATGAATATATGATAAAGATTAATTAAAACTCTATTGGTTCAAATTTCATGGGAGTATTCCATAATTCTGTTTGATGTGCAAAGTTGGCTTTAACTCTGCCCATTTATTCAAGCGCTACCTTTTTCTCTTCTTACACTCTTACTTCCTTCAAGTCTTTTCATAGGGGTTAGGGATGAGAAACATAAGCATTTGCTTATAGCCGGTATCCTGGCTAAAGCCAGGAACTTTAAGTCTAATTTACTTTAGACCCTGGGAACATGGATTGTTACATGTAAATGGTTACTAATTGAAATTTCAGCAAATCCTGCTAACTTTTTCTTTTACAATTGTCTTTTACATCTATTCTTCCTTTTCTTCTAGGTAACACAATGGACAAATTGCTGGACCTGGAAATAGGAAGATTTGAGTTCACATTTGGCTGTGGAAACTTACTAGCTGTGTGACCCTGGGGAAGTCACTTCTGTTTGCTTCCGTTTCCTCTACTGTAAAATGAACATAATAACAGAGCTTACCGCACAGGGTTGATGTGAGGATCAAATGAGATCATATTTATAAAATGCTTAGCACAGTGCCTGGCACATAGTAGGTACAGTATAAATGTTTACTCTCCCTATCTATTGTTACCAGGTGAGGTGAGGTGTCATGGCTTCATGATTTCAATAGCTAACAAAATTAGGAGAAGCTGTCATGGAGAATGTCAGAGTGACTTACTAAGGAATTTTTTCAGGGGAGATACAAAAGGTTAAAGTTTATCTTTAGACCCAGAAGGTATGCTCACCTAAGGAACTATTCCAGTGACCTCCTGAGTCTGTGTTATGTTTGTCTATTTTCCTAACATGCTCACTAAGTATTACTACTACTACTGCTACTGCTACTGCTGCTGCTGCTGCTGCTGCTGCTACTACTACTACTACTACTACTACTACTACTACTACTACTACTACTACTATTACTACTACTACTACTACTACTACTACTACTACTACTACTACTACTACTACTACTGTTACTGCTATTACTACTACTGCTACCATTACTACTACTATTACTATTACTATAGTACCACTAGCTAACATTTATATAGCACTTACAAATATTATCTCTTTTGATCTTCACAACCACCCGGGGAATTAGGTACTACCAGTATCCCCATCTTACAGATAAGGAAACTGAAGCAGACAGAGGTTAAGTGACTTACCCAGGGTCGAACAGCTAGTAGTGTCTGAAGCTGGATTTGAATTCAAGTTTTCCTGACTCCAGGCTTTGTTAAAATGTGTAATGCCTCTGGGTGTTCTGATTTAGTAGAGAGCATAAGAGATTTCAGACATAATTGAAGAAGCAATCTAGTAGGTAAAACAGGCAAGAGAATCTAAAGAGGATAAGGACAATAAATACTAGTGTCAGGAGGTTGGCAAATGACACAGAAGAGGAAAAAGAGAAGAAACTCTGAACTGTTGAGCTACAGACTCTTACCATAGAGAATAAATTTAGACCTCTTGTTTAAGAAAGATGCAGGATGATGCCATTCTCCATAGAAGAATCAGGAAGATTCCCAGATGCTAACAGGCATGAAGAATTCTGTTGCCAGCCCCAAGAAGGAAAAGATACTTGGTGGCAACTGGTGACTACATGGCAGAGATGTAACTAGGATGGATTCACTAGGGTTTTACCCTAAAGCAGAAAATTTAGAGGGTCCCTGGTTTGGAGCATCCTGACACTACTTGCAACACTTAGCAATGCAGAAATGATAGAGCGTGGCACCTAGTGAGCAGGATTGGAAATAATCTACCAGCTCCTTTACCTACTCTGTCCTCTCCCCTACAGGCACACATGGCCTATCCCAGGGGATCTGTCTCCTTCTGTTCAACTGAAGGCATGCATATGCTGTTCTCCCTAGACATGGTTCATTGTTCTTCTCTAGGAAGAAAAAAATTTTTATTTTATGACTCTGCCTCCTGAAGAAGGTCACAATAAGAGCTATATGTAGGTCTAGAAGGCTATATTGGCTTTCTGAAACATGCATTTGAGACGTAGTTAAAAAACCTATCAAGACTACCTACCGATTGCTACCCAATTCTGTATATTTACATACATACACACATACATATATATGTATATACATACATACACACTTATATATGAATTATACCTACCAAATAAACAGGAGGAAGCTAAGCAGCTCAGTGGATAGAAAGAATGCTGGGTCTGGAGTCAGGAAGACTTGAGTTCAAATCCAGCCTTAGACATTTATTAGCTGTGTGATTCTGGGCAAGTCATTTAATCTCTGTTTGCCTTAACCCACTGGAGAATGAAATAGCAAACCACTCAGTATCTTTGCAAAGAAAATTCCATGGAAAGTATGGTCCATGAAGAGTCAGATACAACTGAACAACAACAATGAAATAAACAAGGGATGAATTTCTGGTGACTTTGAAATCTTGGGCAGGAAATTGAAAGACTTGGGGGCCATAGACACCATTTTGGTTTCTTCTTCCTTTCCAGGTTATGCCTTTGGAAAAGGAGGAAGGATATGGGAAAAGAATTGTTGGCTATATATATGGTGTTGAAGAACAGGATTTATTTTTTTGGGCCTTGGCTTATGATACCATAATGATGGACTCCTGGCAGGGAAGGAGTTCATCTCATGAGTACTGGAAAGAATGTGCTTGGCAGACAACTCAATGACCTGAGCAAGAGGGCTTTAGTAGAATGTCAATCAAAGTCAGTAACAAGAATGAAACAAAAGAGAAGAGTCAGAACTGCTGTAGCTCTGCAAAAGGCATGAAGTCCTTGCTAGAGAAGGGTGAAAAGCCCACCAGACTCTGCTGTGGTCAGGAATAATAACAAACTGGAGCAGGTTCAGATGAGGGAGGTAAGATAATGAAAGAATTGGAAACCAACATCATATAAGGAACAGACAAAAAAAAACTGGGGATGTTTTGCCTATAAAATAGGCAGGAAAGATATGATTCTACTTTCTAATATGTAAAGAGACTAATTCAAAAGGGGAGGAAACCTAATCTCTGCAATTCTAAAAGGCAGAATTAAGGACAATATATGGAAGTTAAAGGGAGGCAGATGTTGCATGAGTTTAAAGAAGCAATTGCTATTTTTTTGATTGAGTCTACGATTTCATTAGTATACAGAAGTTCCTCAAGGAAACTCTCTCTACCAACACAGATCATAAATGCTTTGCAGTTTAGAGTATGAGTGTTGCTTGAGCTTAGAGGTTAAGTAACTTGTCCAAGTTCACAGATTCAGTATAAATGAAAGATGGGACCTGAACCCAGGATTTCCTGACTCTGAGATTGGCTTTCTGTGATTATTTTTAGATGGAATGGTTGGCGTCATAAGCTCCCCATCAGTGGAATTTGTAGCCTTGGATTTTTGGGGCTCTTGTAAAGGGGTCCCTTTGCTGGGAGATTGGAAATTCTCACTCTGAAATTCCATATTCCTATGATTTTTTACTTTTATTTAGTTTCTCTCTTCTATCCATCTCACACATTATTACTAGAGTATTTTTTCTTTAAAAAAAAAGTGCTCTGATTGTGTTACTTAAACTGTGCGCTCAAAAAATGTGTACCATTTTCCATCATCTGTTGAATAAACTCCCAACTCTGTAAGTTACTATTCAAGGCTCCCTAGTCTTGCCCCAATCTGCCTTATCTGAACCGATTACCTTCAGGTACCTATGCTTTGGCTCACTCCCCAAACACAACTGTCTTATTTTGCCTCATGTTTTTGTTAAATATCTTCCCTCCACATAAAGGACCCTTCCCCCTAACTCCCCTCTGCATTCTCTCACTACAAGAAGCAGTCCACACTTGCAGGTCTTTTATTCTTATTCTTATTCTTATTCTGTCATTCTCTGGCTGTACCTCATGCCTGGAATACTTTCTCTTCTCTGCTCCAACTACTGACCTCACTGGCTTCCCTTTAAGTCCCAACTAAAATCCCACCTTCTACAGGAAATCTTCCCTTCTTAATTCCAGTGCTTTCTCTCTGCTATATTTCCTATTTGTCCCATATAGAGCTTGCTTTGTATATGTTTCTTTGCATGTTGTCTCCTCCATTAGAGTATAAGCTCCTTGTGGGCAGGCACAGCCTTTTGCCTCTCTCTTTTTTTTTTGTATCCCCAGCACTTAGCACAGTGCCTGACTCATAATAGTCACTTAATAAATATTTATTGAATTATTTTTATTTTTACTACAGAGAGCCTTTCTTGATCAACTGTGTTGTAAATGATTTCTCTTGTCCTTTGAGTACTGATTGTACTCCTCTTTCCTGTAATTAGAAATATCCTTTCCCAACTAGTTTTGTCCTATTAATTAATTTTTTTTTCAGCCTCTTAAGTTTTTGGGTAAATTGGAAAGGCAGTGTGGTCAAGTGGAAAGAACCCTGGGTTGAGATTCAGAAAAACTGGATTCAAAACTTAATTCTCCCATAACTATGTATATGACCTTGGTCAAGACACATCACATTTCTGGGCCTTAATTTCCCCTTATATAAAATAAGGAGGCTCAACTAGAATAATTCATAAGGAAGGGGTTGTTAACTCTTTTTGTGTCATTAACCTGTCTGGCAGTCTGTAGAAGCCCAAGGACCCCTTCTTCAAATAATGCATTTAAATGCATTTGTTGTTATTTAGTTGTTTTCAGTCATATCCAATTGTGTTCCACTCTTCATGACCCCTTTTAGGACTTTCTTGGCAAAATTACTGGGGTGTTTTGTCATTTCCTTCTCCAGCTCATTTTACAGATGAGGAAACTAAAGCAAACAGGGTTAAGTGACTTGCCCAGGGTCATAAAGTAGTAAGTATCTGAGGCTGGATTTGACCTGGAGACTTCCTGACTCCAGGCCTGATGTTCTATCCACCTCACCACCTACCTGCCCTATTTAAATGCAGAAAATACTACAAAGGAAAATATTATATTAAGCTAAAATTATCAAAATATATTTAAAAATATAAGTTCATAGACCCACTGGCATCTTTTCATATCTTGTGGACCCTAGGTAAATAATCTCTGCTCTGCCATCTTCTCCAGCTCTGAATCTATGATAGAAAGAAACGAGTGGGTTTCTCTTTACTTGGGGTCTTCCATGAAAAGGTAGATGGTTGTTTGTCATGTATAATGTAGAACAGTGGTGTCTAAGTCAAACAGAAATGGGAGCCACTAAATTGTACATAGGGATCCCTGCAGGCTGCCTATTGACTTGGTTTTAAAATGTAATATTATCTATATTTTATCCTATTTTTTATTTATTTTGTTAAGCAATTTCCAGTTATATTTCAATCTGGTTTCCATAGCACTCAGGAATACTGTGGATTGCATGCAAACCCCAGGCTGTGTGTTGGATACTTCTATTGTTGAGGAGTTTTTTCTTGTTTGGGGACAGCTTGGACTAAGTGGTTTTTAAAATTTTTTATTTTATTTTATTTTTTGGCTAGGCAGTGGGGTTAAGTGACTTGCCCAGGGTCACACAGCCAGTAAGTGTTATGTGTCTGAGGCTGGGTTTGAACTCAGATCCTCCTGATTCCAGGGCCGGTGCTGTATCCACTGTACCACCTAGCTGCCCACTGAAATTTTTTATTTTTAATTTATAGAATAAAACAAGCATTTCCATAAAATAGTACAATAAAAAAGATGATTGTACATGAAACTGCAAATCTACTATGTACAGCTTGCTGCTCCTTTCAAATATACAATAAAATTATTATGTAAATTCCTTTTTTTTCCCCTTTTTTTCCCTTCCCTCCTCCAACCCCAAGTGGCTTTTGAAGTCCTTTTCAGATCTGAGATTCTCTGATCCTGGGAGATTCTATCACAGATTCCTGTGAATTCTTTCTATTCAGTCATAGAAATCACAAGATAAACATCCTAAACTCACTGCTACATCTCCTAGGATAATAGCTTACAAGATTGTGGTTTGTCCTTAGTTCTTGAAGAGGACCATGACATCAGGAAGATGATGCCACGACTTGCAAGTGAATCGGATTTAAGTGAGGGAGGACTGTGCAAGGTCACCAGCCTCACTTTCTCTTCCAGAGCCTGGGTCCAGTGGCAAGATAAAGATCAGGATGACTAGCTTACAAGATAGTGGGAGACAGAACTACGTACAATCAGTGTTCTAAGAGTTCTGAGGTTGGAAAGCTCACTGAGGGCTGAGAGTGGGATGCTTAGGGAAGCTTTCACTGAGGAGATGGGGCTCGAACTGAACCTTGAAGATTGAATAGGATTTGAACATATGAAAAGGGAACACGAGCAAGGACATGGAAGCTTTCTATGAAGGGAAAGCAGAATGGAAGCAAAGAAGCATGAAGTACATTTTGGAGACTGAGTAGACATACCTGGCTATAGTGCAGGGTTTAGGAAGATAGAGATAAGATAGATTAAAGTCAAATGGTGGAGAACCTTAAATGCCTTGTTAAGGAGTGCTATTGGGCACTCCTCTGTAGAATGTGTGCTGACTCAAATATTGACTCAATAAGTTTTTGAAAGACTTTGAGTTCCATTATTTTTCACAGTGATATTATAAGACACAGACAGGCATTCTGCTCCAAACCCCACCAAGTCACCCAGCTCTTTTCTGAAAGAGATACTTTTTCTTCTTGACAGTACAATTTAAATGGGAATTTAGTTTTTATTTTTATTTTTTTGTTTGTCTGACAGCAGGATACCAACATTCTTTAGGGGAATGTGGTTCTGTTTATTTGAGTATCCCCAGATACTTTTAACTTCATTCATTCAGTCAGTCACAAATGGTTTGATTTAAGGTAGGCCTTAAAGATGGTTTAGGGTCTGAAAAGAGAAAGGGGAGGGGAGAAATAAACCTTTATGTAATGCCTCCCATGTGCCCAGCACCATGCTATGTGCTTTACAAACATTCTCTCATTTGATCCTCACAACAACCCTGGGAGGTAGGTGCTATTGTTATATTTTTTATAGTTAAGGAAACTGAGGTAGAGGTCAAGTGACTTGCACAGGGTCACACAGCTAGTAAGTGTTGGAGGCCAGATTTGAACTCAGGGTTTCTTAACTCCAGGCCCACTGGACTCTATCCACTGTTTCACCAGCTGCTTAAGGTGAAGGGAGAGTGATTACATTTGATCATTCCCTTCTCTGAACCTTGAATGTTTTTGGCAGCATTTACTGTTTTTTGTTCTGCACGGAAGTTATTATTTTATCCCTCTACTAAATTATAAACTCCTTGAAAGGAGAGATTACGTTTCATTTTTCTTTGTATTCCTGACAAACAATACTTTGCACATGGTAGACACTATGTACATATTTTCTAAACATTGAATTTCACCAGTTTTTAGGAAAAAAAGGACAAAAGAAAGGAAGACAAAGGTGAGAATGATTATGTAGATGAATGATTAGATGGAATTATGAGAATGGTATGACTAAAGCAGTTGACTTTAAGGAAATAGTGAGAAAAATTGCTGGATAAATAAAGTTCTATAGTCTATAGAATGTAACCCAAACCTCTTTATCATTCAAGCAGTCATTTATTAAGTGCTTCCTATGAGCCACCATTCTGTGTTACTATTTAGCCTAGAACTTCTATTTGGCCAACCTTAAAAAAATAGCAATTTCAGGGGACTCAGAAAACAATGAAAAGCATCAGTGGGCTGTGACATACTACTGGTGATAACTTGCATGAAGAAGTGGTTTAAAATACATCATCAAGGACATGTATGTTGAGAAGAGGTGTGCCAGTTAGATAGCGAGAGAAAGGAATAGTGGATGGATAGCTCGTGTTGCACTGGTATCCATAAAATACTAAAAGGCCCAAAGGAAGGCCTCTAAGATGTCAGGAAGGTCCTTGATAAATGGCTTTAAAAAAAAAAAAAGAAAAGAAATAGGAGTT